GTTGTTCTTTCACTGTGAAAAGCTTTTCTTCGTATGCAAGAAAATTTTCAGAATATCAACGTTCTTACGGGCAAACTTGACAAGAGGACCAGAATGTTCAAAAACTATTGCATTTGGATATGGACATTAAAAATTGAACGAATTGGTAATCTCATTGAAGCACAACCAAACGTATTATATTCAATGACGAAAGCAAAATTGTTGGGTGAAGCGGCTAATTGGTTTACAACAAATCAAGTAACATTGACAGAGTGGGAAGAATTGAACGCCCAGATGTTGACACGTTCAAACCAGTTACTTCTTCATCACAACTGTTCGAAAAACTAATCAAAAGACGACAAGGACCAGATGAATCAATCATTACTTATTACGATTCTATTATCAAACTATGTCGTGAATATGACCCTTCAATGTCAGACAAAGTGAAAATTTCATTTTTAGAAAAGGGTTTGAAAGACGAATTGAAGATACAAGTGAAGCGACAAATGAGAGCATTAACAGAACAGATACCACACGCATTTTTACAAATAGCAAAAGCGGAAGCTGAATTACTGTCTGAAGTACAACTACCATCTGAACATAGTCGTATTTTATTCCACCCACGATATCAGCAATTACACGACCTGCGTTTTGTGGACGATCTCCACGACCACATTTATTTTGATCAAGAGAATCACGATATTATTCGCATCAAACTATACAACGAGTACCACAATCACCATTTAATCGAAATCGGGGTATGCTAAGGAATGAATATGCACAACTGCAACCACGTCCGATATCACCTACAACAAACTCACAATCACAAAAACAGACGCCAGTATTAGAGAAATCAGAACAGACCGTACGAAATACAACGCAAGAAGTTTTTCAAACTTCGATGGAAAATAGCAACACACAGCAATTAGGACTGAGAGGACAGCAGTCAAAAGGAAGAATACAAAGTGATCATTTTACATACAATTTGTGATCGTACGAATCATCGAACGATTGATTGTTTTTACAAAAAACAAAAAAACAATCCGGCTGTTTTACGTGTGAAATCCTGGCTTGTCCACGGGTTTTCGAATAACTGGAGTACAAGATGGCGGTACTCCCAGTAAACAACAGCCATCCGTATCATCGACATTAGCATCGCCAACTTCGACAAGCCCCGTAGTCATCCGAATACAAGTAAATAATAAGTCAAAAAATGCAATCGTCGACACTGGGAGTCCATTCACTATAATTCACAAAAATTGACTTTTAAACCAAAAAAAGTGACTTTTAACCAAACCAAATTAAGCTTTCTCATCAATTTAAATAAAATGAACATCTGAGCAAACTGCTACAACTACTACTAAACTAGTTTTTTCAAAACATGAATAAATTTAGATAGAAAAACAGTAGTTCTTTTCAAAAGAAAGCTAAGTTTCTTCCTGGCGTTACTTTTATAAGCACTTAACAGGTTTTAGATAAGTAAACCAATATGGTGAATACGTTTGCAACACAGAAGCCAGTGTCCGACTCATCAAATGATGAAAAGGGTACTTTCACTGGAGAGGTTAGTCAGGTATAAGCCAGACGCTGTATGACAACGAACTTGTCACGGTCGCCGTTTATTGTAGCCAGGTGATGCCACTAGGTTTTATAAGTTTTCCGATGAAGAACTGTTGGAAACGACATATCAGTCGGAGAGATGTCAAGCGAATCGTCAAAAGGCCGTCGATATTCGAAGAAAAAAAAGCGGGTTATGTAATGATATCTTCAAGGACTATGAGAAACAAAATTATAGAGAGAAAAACGATGCTTGCTATGTTGATGAAATTTTACCCAGGAACTGACATATTTGCATCGGCTTGTGATCAACAATTGATAGAATTTGATGAGGATAGTGAGTCTCAGTGCTTCTACTCGCTTTTTCGCTGAGCTATGTGTTCCTCGTATTATAGTTACTTCTCACAGCGCAGTGACTGAAATTGGAAATAATGATCACGCTGGCGATGACAGTGGTATCGGTAAGTGTGAGATGATTAATTGTTGTTTCCTATTACTTATTGGTTCAATTTAGTCCTTCACAATGATCTTTTCTTTTTTTTTCTTTTTTTTTTTTGTTGAGATTCTGTATACGAATAAGGATTAAATAATTAGAAATAAGACTGCTTTTTTATTCGTAAAAAAAAATAAAAATTGTATCTATAGCTAGACGTTTCAATTTATTTGCTAAATTTTCATCAGTAGCCAGACAGAAAATTAAAAGTATAACATTAAATTCATAATTAAAAACATAATAAAGTATTAACGTTTAACAA